GTACCTCAAAGTTTGATGCAAAAACGCATGATCGCACCGGCTCGCCTGGTGCGTTCCAACCTGGGTATTTCTTTACAATAGTATGCCTAAAGTCAAGCTTGCCACGTCTTCGCTCATTGTGAATAACGGAGGCACTAGGAAGTAGCCTAAGCAATGGCACATTTCAGCAGCAATCACCCATTCGCAAGGCTCTTAATCACTGCTTCTTTCTAGAATTGCTTATAAGTAGGCTGTGGCTGCCCCGTGGCTTATTTCGGTACCAATTTAAACTCGGACTGAATCGTAGAAGAACTAATTGTCAAGCAAGCGGAATCGAACTTTCGACCTTCAGCTTAACAGCAGTTTTATTCCATACTGTGGGATGCTGCTTTTCATGTAATGTCAAATTTGTTTTTTTTTTTATTTTTGAATTTTTTTGAAATACTGACATATTCCAAATTTTTGAACAACTTGTTCTAATTTGTTCAATTTTCGAACAAACTGAACAAATATTCCGAATTTTCTAAAATAGTATGTAAACTGTGGAGACACACGAATTGAACTGTTGAGGAACCTTACCTGTAGCTCATTGAGTAACGACATTAAGTACTCTTTCTGTTGATCGTAAATTTTTTGGACCGACCCAGAACTGTCAACAATAAACAAAAGTTCTCTGGGGCAGTGTCCTGAAAGCAAGAACAAAATAATAACTGATTTAATGCAAACTCTTTCTGAAATGGCACTCGTTCTTTCAGTTACACCATGAAATGAAGGGAAAAATAAGGGGAATGTAGAGAACAGAGAAAACTTTTTTCCCAAGTCAAAATGTGATTCTGTCCAAAGTGTGGAATTGAAGTTGCTTACAATATGCTTATTGATATCATATTTCTTATGTGCGCGAAAACTGGGTGCATTTCTACTTAAAACATACCTTGACTTCTTTCGGCGTCTTTGATGGATGACTGTAGGGGTTGCCCCTGTGATCGTTTTGTCGTTGGCGTTGAAATTCGGCGCGACCTGAAGTATTTACGCTCGGTACCAAAAACGGGTGCTCAGGAAAATCGTTCAGTTCACTCACTCAATGTCCACTCATTTCGTTTCGATAGCAAATTGGTGATGGCGCTTGTTGGGGAGTCTTTGCCGGTTTGCTGGTTAGCCACCCAGGGAAGAGGAAGCCGTCGACAGCCTTACCAGGAGATGGTTGCTGTTAGCAAATGCTATCACTCGAGCTGCTTCCGAGTGCCTTCTATTTTAGTAGAGAGTAAGCTGTGAGAAGGTTATGACTTCGTATTTGACAAATTCAGGATCCTGACAGCAGAAAAATAATTTTTGGGAGTAATGAAATCTTTAAAAGATCCAAAATTTAGTTATATCGTTCAAAAGCAGTACTATTAAACGCTTTAAAAAAAAACCTTGATTCCGGTGTTGCTTTCGCGTTCCCGACTTCATTAGGCGGTAAACGTGTTGCTAGGAGTTCTGTAGCAGCCGATCGATCAGATTGCGGAAGTTTCCCTCTTTGCTTTTTCGTCAATTTTTCTGTATTTGCAGCTTTCCTATCTATCTCACCGCCTGCGGTCAACTGTAATTTAGACTGTTGTAAAGCCGATGCCTTCGCCTTGCCTCTCCATCACTCCCAACGAAATTATAAAACACAAAAATAAAAAAAAGCAGAATCATTTGAAGCAGAAAAGCTGAATCTTTTGTCGACGACATTCCAGCTGAAAGTCAGGAAGCGACATTCCCAACGATGATCGGATCTCCGGCTGGGATTCGACTCTTCCTTCCTAGTCCACCTTTTTCCCGCTAACTTTTCCATCGTATATTGAATCTACTGTGGCATAATCCATCCCTGGTTCCCATGGCATCCATTCTGTAATCCTGGATGAAAGTCGTATCAGAGATTATAACGTGGGATATCTATTACAAGTGTATCAGTACATAGGACGGGTGAACCGATGATTCGTGGTCCGCTTGTATTGTTCGTCCACAATTACCGTCTAAGTGCCTTTCGTCAACCGTTTTGTTCAAACCAGTACTAGTTATTGGTTGATATCCCATTCTGTTCAGTATCCGTATCTCATACAATAAGGTTTCTTCCCCCTTTAGTTCAGCCTAGTACCCTAACTGGTTCCTTCGGT